CCCCAGCCAGCCTGAAGCCCGACGCCTTCAAGGACCAGCTCCAGGAACTCTGCATCCCCGAAGACCTGGTCGTGGACTTGGCCAGTGTGGTGTTTGGGAGCCAGCGGCCTCTCCTTGACTCTGTGGCCAGGCAGCAGGGGGCCTGGCTGCCCCACATTGCCAACTGTCGGTGGAGGGTGGATGTGGCAATCTCCACCAGTGCCCTGGCCCGCTCCCTGCAGCCAAGTGTCCTGATGCAGCTGACACTTTCGGATGGGTCAGCACACCGCTTTGAGGTCCCCACAGCCAAATTCCAGGAGCTTCGGTACAGCGTGGCCCTGGTGTTGAAGGAGATGGCTGACCTGGAGAAGAAGTGTGAGCACAAACTGCAGGACTGACCTGCACTCCCAGTTGCTCTGGTGACCTGGGGACAGTTGCTCAGACATCTCCAGAAGGAAGCCCATCCTGCCTAGGAGGCACTCTTCAGTGAGAATGTGAATGCAACCATGTCACTCTCTGTTTGATTAGAAAAAGTCAGCACTGTTTTTCCTTTATTTGGGAGTAAAGCAACAATTAAAAACATGTCTTCCTGGGTGGTGTCACCCTGCACACAACTCCCCTGGCTGTTGGTGGCATTGCTGGGTGGGTACTTGCTGCTCCAGGGTGGTGAACTGGTCCAGTCAGTCTAGGGCCCAGTCCAGTCTTTATGCAGATGCCAAGTTTGTTCAGCTGGGCCCCAGGTAGCATCTGAGTGTTCTGCTCATTTGTTTCTATGAACCATGTGTTTCAGAGTGGATATTTCATTCTCGTCTTAAATCCCTGATCTCAAGGAGCCAGCATTGTAGTGTGGAAAGGAAGACTTTACAGAGTACATAACAAATGACTGGTGTAGCTTGTTATTGGATATAGTAAACGATAAAATAGGCCAGTGTCCAGGGAATGGGAAGCAGGACTATGGGAGAATCGGGTGGTCATTTTACATTGGGTCATAAGGTGGGCTTCCTAGAAGAGTTGGTATGTGAGCAAAGACTTGCAAGAGGTGAGGGAGCAGTCACCCAAGGGAGACTTCTGGGTAGAAGGGGAGTGGAGTAGAGGGGAGTGAGGGTACCAAGGGCATGCCCTACCCTAACAGCTGTTTTAGAAGGATCATACTGGGTGTTGTATTGAGCCCAGGAAGGAACAGGGGCCTTTCCCAGCACCTCCAGGGTGGGTATGCTGGTCAGCTTGGGTGGTGGTCCCAGAGGACACACATTTAGGGCTGAAAGCCACTGAGTCCTGGGAGTTTCTGGTGTGCAAGATTACCAGTGACATTTGTCCAGTGCAATCAGGGAGACCTTGGATCTGAGCCCAGCCCATCAGGGTGCTAGAAGTGCCACCCCCACTGTGGGACCTTGTGACTGAGACTCCATGGCTCAAAATTATGCACCTGGTAGCAGTGAGGAAATGTGCCTTGCAGGCCACCCTTGTGTTACTGACCCCAGGGGTGGAGATGGGCCTGTTACTCAGAACCTGCCTCAAGCCTCTCAGCAGCCCCTGCAGCAGGGGGTGGGCAGTCACTTGGAGCTGCAGCATCAAATAGCAGGTAACCACTGGGATATTCACACTATTTTTCTGTCCACCAGGCCACAGAATGCTGGTGCACCCAGCTGGAGTTTACTGGCTATCTCCATGGCTGTGTTACTGTGTCTACTCTGGTAGTCCACTCTGAGGGCCACTAGGGGTCAGCAGACTGGGGAAGGGGGATTTCTGAGGCACAGCTTTTGGTCCCGTGCCATATGTTCCCACTTCCACCCTCACCCCAGGTAAGTGGGGGCACCCACCAGCCTCCCCTCCCCGCACCAGAAGATGATCTGTGCCTTTTGTCATCCAGTTAGGACCAGGTGGTTGAGGTATTCTCCATCTTACCCTTGCCAGGTAGCTCAATTGGTTAGAGCGTAGTTCCAATATACCAAGGTTTCAGGTTTGATCCCATCAGGGAACATACAAGAATCAGCCAATGATGCATTAAAAAGCTGAGCAAGCCGAACCGGTTTGGCTCAGTGGATAGAGCGTTGGCCTGCGGACTGAAAGGTCCCAGGTTCAGTTCCGGTCAAGGGCATGTACCTTGGTTGCAGGCACATCCCTACTGGGGGGTGTGCAGGAGGCAGCTGATTGACCTCTCATTGATATTTCTAACTTGCTTATCCCTCTCCCTTCTTCTCTGTAAAAAAAATTGAATAAAATATATTTTTTAAAAAAAACAAGCCCTGACCGGTTTGGCTCAGTGGATAGGGCGTCGGCCTGTGGACTGGAGGGGTCCCGGGTTCGATTCCAGTCAAGGGCATGTACGTTGGTTGCGGGTACATCCCCAGTTGGGGTGTGCAGGAGGCAGCTGATGGATGTTTCTGACTCTCTATCCCTCTCTCTTCCTCTCTGGAAAATCAATAAAATATATTAAAAAAAAAAAAAGCTGAACAAACCAGTGTTTCTCTCCCCCCTCCCTCTCTCTCAAGTCAATTTTTTAAAAAACCATTCTTCAGAATCATACAAAATGAGGTGGTAGGTGGGTGTCAGCTCCAACGGCTACAGCTCCCTTGTCCCAGCTCCTGTCAGGCTGAAGTGGGCAGCCACAGGATTCACTCAGGCTGCAAAAGGACCATCTACCCTTGTTTGTGGTTGATCACCATAGACCTGGACATGAGGGCAGGGGCTGGCTTTTCCCACCTTTGTTCCAGGTCTGCGCAGGGAATGATGCACCTGGAAAATTACCTTACAGCTGTGTCAACCTTACTTAGATCCTGTGGGGGCTCTCGGTAGCTGTTTCTCTTCTGTGGGTCTCTGACTTCTCAACTTCAAAGCCTGGATACTCCTGAAATTCATCATTCATTCATTCAACAAACATTTCCTGGGCTGTGAGTATAAGTCACACACACTGGGGATACAGGTGCGTAAACTTACTGGGTTCTGCCTTGCCGAAAACACTTTGGGAAATTTCCACAAACCTCAAAATAGTTACAATCCAACATCATAAATTAAATTTCAATCTATAATTGAGAATAAAAGCAACCAGCTTAAAATTATGGGCTTAATTTATTGACTCAAAAAGAGAAGTCCAAAGTATTTTAAAACCTATTGTTAAACAGTGCTGAAAATTCTTAAAATGAGTTTATATTTACTGAAGCCCAAATTGGGGAATATAGCAGGAAAGTAGAGCCAGGCTGGTGGGGCTCAGTGGTTGAGCATCAACCCATGAACCAGGAGGTCAGGGTCTGATTGCCAGTCAAGGCACATGCCTGGGTTGGGCTCAATCCCCAGTGTGGGGTGTGCTGGAGGCAGCCAATTGATGGTTCTCTCTAATCATTGATACTTCTCTCTCTCCCTCTCTGAAATCAATAAAAATATGTATTAAAAAAAAATATTTCAAAACACCTGGTCTGCTTGGTAGGCATTCAAAACACCCAGTCTTATGGCCTCAGTGTTTGTTTAATGCACCAGCACCACACAAAAGCAGGCCTCGGACTGGGTTCACCAGCCCTTGATCCAGGACCATGGCTGTGCACACTCAAATGCTAAAGGAGATTTCAGGTAGAAGTCTCTGGCTTGCAGTTACTGTTAGGGGAAAGAAAGAGCATCATGTCCAGGCTGGAGTCTGGAGAAGTCCATATAATCCTCCATCCTTTTGTCCCTCATTACCCAGGAGTAGACAAGGGAGGTGGGGTCCAATGAAGAGGCCCTTCGGTGCACAACAGTACCAAGTGCCAGCAGATGGCAGAAGTGTGCTCTCTCCACTCAGGACCTCGGCTCCAGAACCATTGCTGGGTGGCCTAAAAAATTTACAGCTCTTTAAAATTGGGCCCACCCATCCAGATGTGCCAGCAGTGACCACCTGGGTGAGCACAGCAGCTGAGGTGGAGACACAATGAGCATAACCTCTGCATAATGCACAGAAGTCCCTGGTCCTCTGGCACTGACCATTTGACTCAAGTTCTGGGTAGAGTAGGGATGCCTGAAGAGATAGGCCCACTAATTTCATGGCATCCTGGCACCAGGTGAAGGACATGTCAGGCAGTGAGTGATGGATAAGCAGTAGCAGTTGGTGATCAGGCTGACCGGCTCCACCCATGTGCTGGAAACAATAAACTTAACTACCTCAAACTCCATTGCTCCCAACAACAGCAGAAAGCTCAGGAACCTCCTAATGCAAACATGGGGATCAGCAAGCGTTTTCTTCACCCGACTCAAATCCATAGCCTGCTACAGGCTATGCCACGCACGGCGATAGAAGCAGCAAGGTCTCAAGGGCGTGACGTGGGTTTGACCAAACCAGTGTGATGGTGACCCAAATCAAGTGTCACAACAAATCCTGAAGTGACTGACCTGTGTCCCTCTGGGATACCAGTCCACATGTGGAAGAAATGGCTCCTCCACTGGGATGAACGTCTCTCACATACTGCCCCTCTGATTGTAGCAATGGTACCAAAGGTCAGCAGGTCTCGAGTGGACTACTGGCCCCTGGACTCCTTCCCAAATGGTGAATACAGGACACTGGACAGGGAGGGGGTCAATGCGGCAGGTCTGTCTCACCCAGTGGCCTCCATGGCATTAACGAACTGCTCTGTGAGACAAAGTGAATGAACATGGGCCCAGCCTGTAGGTCAGATTAATCAGAGTGGCTCGGCCCATGTGGAAACTCACGTTGACCCTGGGTGGCTGCTTGCCTGGGCTGCTGATGGGGGAAGAGGTTTGAAGAAAAGGAGTCAGGTGAAGGCAGAAGGGAATTCCAGACACTCCTCTTCTGGACTTCAGCGCATGCCAGCTCACACATCCTTGCTGAAGTCAGTCTGAGTAACTGGTGCCAAAGACACTGAGTATCTCATCTGGCAGAGCTCACAGGACTTCTCAGGCCTCAGCTGCAGAACCTGGGTTCATCCCTCTGCACACTCAGAACTCTACATGACTCCCCGGATGCAAGGGACACAGGGTTATGGAGTGGGATAAAATCGGAATTCCAGAAAAAAACACATTTTGTATGAACTTGGATATTTTTAAAAGAGCAATTCTGAATCTTTACTAACATTCTACCTTGTTCGTATCAATTATCCCATATAATTTAAATAGGTTAAGGCTGTGGGTTTATTCCCACTTACACACATTTAAAGAGGTGAGTGGTCTATCCCATATGAATCTTCTGATGCTGAGTGAGCCTTGAGCTCCGATTAAAGGCTTTGCCACATTCGTTACATTTATAAGGTTTCTCACCAGTGTGAATCCTCTGATGTATAATGAGATGGGAGCGCCATCTGAATATTTTCTCACATTCATTACATTTGTGTAGTTTCTTTACAGTGTTAACTTTTTTACGGCTCACATGGGTAGAACCCTCCAGGGTGCCCCCATATTCGTGGTACCACTGGGCACGTGTGTGAATCCTCTGGTGCTCAATGAGGTACGAACTTCGACTAAAGGCTTTCCCACACTCACTGCATCCATAGGGCTTTACTCCAGCATGAATTATCTGGTGCTGGAAAAGGGTTGAGTTCTGACTGAAGGCTTTCCCGCACTCACCACATTTATAGGGCCTCTCCCCAGTGTGAACCCTCTGATGAATTGTGAGCTGTGTGCTCATACTGAAGGCTTTTCCACATTCCAGGCACTCGTAGGGTTTCTCTCCCTTGTGAATCCTCTGATGGTAAATGAGGCTTGAGCTCTGGCTGAAGGCTTTTCCACAATCACTACACTCATAGGGTTTCTCTCCGGTGTGAATTCTCTGGTGCTGAATCAGGTGTGAGCCCTGGACAAAGCCCTTCCCACACTCATCACATTTGAATGGTTTTTCTCCAGTGTGAGTTCTTTGGTGGCGAATAAGCCGTGAGCTACAACCGAAAGCTTTTGCACACTTGTTGCATTTATATGGTTTCTCTCCAGTGTGAATCAGCTGGTGCTGACTAAGGCGAGAGACCCACCTGAAAGCCTTCCCACACTCATCACACTTAAACGGTTTCTCTGCAGCGTGGATTCTCTGGTGTGCAATGAGGGTGGCACCATCCAGGGTTCTTGGAACTGGAGGCTTCTCCCCCGTGTGCATCAGCTGGTGCTGAGCCAGGGTTGAGCTCTGGCTGAAGGCCTTCCCACACTCCTGGCACGAGTAGGGCCTCTCTCCAGTGTGAGTCCTCTGGTGTCTGACCAGCTGAGACTGCTGGCTGAAGGCCTTCCCACACTCACGACAGCCATAGGGCCTCTCTCCTGTGTGCACCCTCTGATGGTGGATGAGGCTGGAGCTCTGACCAAAGGCTTTCCCACACTCCTCACACCTGTACGGTTTCTCTCCCGTATGAATTCTTTGATGCTGAATAAGTTTTGAGCTCAGTCGAAAGGCTTTTCCACACTCTATGCATTTGAACGGTTTCTCTCCAGTGTGGATTCTCTGATGCTGATTAAGCTGCGAGCACAACCTGAAGACTTTCCCACATTCCTCACACTCATACGGCTTCTCTCCGTGGCAGTTACTTTGATGTTTCCCCTGTAAGCAATCAGATAACTTTTTTTGGCACTCCTGACATCTGTTAAGTTCCTTCTGTACACCAAAGTGAGGCAGAGCCGCGAATCTGAAACTCCTGCCACAAACATCACATCTTTGAGACGGCCCATCTGCAGAAACCCCCTGACTTTTCTCAGGTTGACAACCCAGGTTGACATGTCCCTGCACATCCTCCGTGGCAGAGGTCTTCCTGGGAGCCACAGTCCCTGTGTGCAAGTGGTGTTTCTGAAAGAGAGGGCTTAGCTCACTCTCTGGCCATACCTCAGAATCAGAGGTGTCTCCGAAGCCAGGACTCTGAGGGTAATCCCGAGGGCGGGGTCTGACCATCGCTGCCAGAGACTCCGATTTTAGCATGTGCATGTCTTCGCCAGCCTGCTCACCACCATCAGGGCTTACTGTAGACTCTGAGACACACGGGCAGGGTAAGGCTCCTTCTCCTGAGGCACAGAAAGGGCAGAGCTGAGGTGGGGATCATCACTAGGCACTGAGCTCCCTCCTAGGACACCTGACATGCAAAGACACTATCAAAACTTGACGCCCCCAGAAAGTGTGCTGAAGCTCTTGCCCAGAACCTCAGAATACGAACTTATTTACAAACAGGACCCTAGAGCTGGAGTTAGTTAAGATGAGATCACACTGAAGTATGGAGGCCCTAATCCAATATGACTGATATCCTTGGAAAGGCAGACACAGGAAGAATGCACTGTGAGGTGGAGGACTGGGTGATGCAGCCACAAGCAGAGGAACACCTGGGGCCACCAGAAGCTGGAAGGACCCTCCTCTACAGCTTCAGAGCGGTCACAACCCTGCCAATGCCTTGATTTTGGACCTCTGGCCCCAAGAATGTGAGGTACTGATCTTTATCAATTCAAGCCTCCAGTCTCTGGCGGTTTGTTATGGCAGCCCCGGAGCCTCACCTGAGAGGCTAGGGTCACCGGGATCCCCAGAAGCTCTGGAGGGAGCACAACAGTACCAGCGACATGATGCTCACCCAAGAAGCTGCTCAGAACCAAGATTACTCCTTCTCTTGCATCCATGTTTGTATCTTAACAAGAGTATTGGTAAGATGAGAGACTTAATAAAATGTGGTTTAAAAACAAACTCGCATGGTGATCCCTAGGGTCCGCCTTCCCGGGCACAATACTGAGCCTCACCTGTCTGGAGGGTCCTTCGTGCCTCTCTCGCCTCTGTTCCCTGCAGGTCAAGGACCCATGGCTCCTGCCCTTGCTCCAGCCGGGAGATCAGTTCAGGCTTGAAGAGCAGAAATCCTGCTGTCAAGATGACAAAGGAAACCACGTTGGTGCTGCTGGGAATGCAGCTCAGGGCTCAGTGCCCCCTGGTTTTCAAAGTAAAGGGGTGGGAGGCTGCTGAGGTACAGGCAGAGTCTCTGAAGGGAGCATCATAGGGTTAGGATCTGGGCACAGGGGCCCTCTCTGTCTGGTTCAGCCCAGCTCCTGAGGCTAGACAGCAAGGGATGCCTGGACTCCTAGCCCACTCCCTTATGCTTCAAGGCCAAGATCCCCAGCAGACCCTGTCACCCAAGAGTTTGCCAAGAAGAGGCCACTGTACTTCAAGAAGAGAAAAGCTAGGCACTACCAGCAAGCCCCTCAGTTCAGAGGGCAGGTGTGTGCTCCAAGAGGTAGGGGTGATTAAGAAACAAGACAGGAGCATTTGAGATCTTGCTTCTCAGCATAGGTCATCAGTTTGGGTCAAAGAAACTCTTATTAAAAAAAACGAACAAAAAACCCCGCCCTGGCTGAGTAGTTCAATTGCTTAGTGTTGTCCTGATATGCCAAGGATGCAGGTTTGATCTCTAGTATATACAAGAATCAATCAATGAATGCAAAAACATGTAGAACATCAAATCAGTATTTTCTCTCTCTCTTTCCTTTCCTCTTTCTAAAAATCAATCAATAGATAAAAATTTTTAAAAAGGAAAAAGAATGAAAACAAAAGAACAACGAAAATAAAACAATGAATGATACACACTTTAAACCAGAAGGCAATGAGGTCCAGTCCTCACCCAGATACCCCCAGTCTTGCATCCTTGCACAAAGCAAGGGAGCTAGGCAGCCTGGGAAGTGGTGAAGACCTGTGGGCACCCATCTGACACCCTCCCTCCAGGGCCCTCAGCCCCACGCTGTGGGCATCAGTGTGGTGAGCTCCCATCCCATCCCTGTGGTTGGCGCTTCCTTCAGGTTTCCGACCACGGGGGTGGAGAAGGGCAGGCAGAGATCCCAGGCTGAAGGCCTCAAGTGCAGGCAGGATGCAACACTGCATAGGAAACACGTGTTCTCTCCAAGCGCACATGGAGCAGTCAGAGAAACATGCTTGGGCCAGCCTTGAAGGGGTCACGGTGCAGTGCTCGGGACCCCCAGAACACAGAACAACCAAAATGCAACGGAACGTGAAAGTAACCACAACACGCAGCTCAAAACTATCAGCCACTTGGAGAGTCAGTAATGATGTACCAACTGGCACAATTCGTAGGATGCAGCTGAAGTAGCATATAGGGACAAAAAGTTACATTTTTAAACATATTTACGAGAAATAAGGACCGTAGAACACAAATGAGGTAAACAGTAAATTCAAGAAATTGGAAACAACACAGCAAACACAAACACAAAAGAAAAAAATAATAAAAACCGGGCAGAATTCAGTGAAATAGAGAACAAGGACCCCACACACCACTCCCCAAAAATTGAGCAAAACCAAAACCTGGCTCTTTGAAAATATGAATAAACAGTCCTGGGGCAAAACCAATCAAGACACTGCCAAAAACTTACATAAGGGAACAGCTGCAAACATAACAGAGCTTAAAAATAAAGACGGAGAGCATTATGAATAAATACATGCCGAAAACCGAAAATACAAATGAATAGGTAAATTTGTACAAAAACTAGAAATGACAAAGGTGACAAAAGGAGAAATTCACAAGCTTGTTGGACCATCAAGCATGAAAGAAGGAAGGGCTTCCCCAGGGCCCAGGTGTTTTACAGGGACTTCTACCAGGTGCCCCCGGATCAATGAACTCCATCTATATAAATTCCTCCAGAAGTTAAAAAAGATAGCAAAGAAGCTGTTTTAGTTTGAATTCTATTTCTTTAAAGCTAACCTCTTAGCCCAGACAAGAAAGAGGTTGCATTACCTCCCAGAAGTCCACATACCCTGCGAGGATTAAACCCTGTGACGTTAGCAAATCTAGGAGCCGGCCGGGCTCACCATGACGCGTCCTAGCGTCAGGACTTGACCACATGGCCTCCACTTCCCCAGCTCTGAAAGAGGCCTGGCTAGGCAGGTGCTGATCTATGATGCAGGGGGAGGGGTCCCAAGGTCCAGCCTCACCTAGTCCAGCCACACTGCTGTGGTTCTCCAGCATCACCTCCTTGTAGAGGGCCCTCTGGCCAGGGTCCAGACACTGCCACTCCTCCCGTGAGAAGTGCACAGCCACATCACCAAATGTCACAGCCTCCTGAAAGGACACATAACAGCACCCCAGGGACCGCTGGGTGCCAGCCCCATTCTGGGGTCACCTCATTGTGTCTCAGAAATGTGGACCACAGGGCTGGGCGAGACAGTCACCAGGAGCCTTTGGCTCTACAATCAAAGGTAGGGGCAGTATGGAGGAGAGAAGGGACCCAGACCATGGACCTACAACCCTCCACTCGAGAGCCTCAGGCAGGCCCGAGTCCTGGCAGGGGTGTGCTCACTACCTTGGGGATGGGCATGCCAGAGTCTGGCAAGGGCCACAGCAAGAGGCTGAAGCAGAGTCTAGGCCCAGGCACAATGGGCAGGGTGGGTACCCAGAGGAGGTGGCAGAACCCTCACAAGAAGTGAGGGAATGGAGGCAGTCAGACTCCTACCATGAGGCTTGGTGGATGAGTCTCCATGTGTCCTGGCCGAGAGACCTGCTGACAGGTGTGAAAAGGTCAGAGGTCAGGATGCTGGAGGCCCCCCAACCCCTGATGTCCAGGGTAACCCAGGGGGCAGTGTTCTCTGATCCTTTACCTCCACTTCCAGAGATTCTCTGGCCGGGACACAGGGGGAAACCAAGGCAGCCACAGTACTGGAGCCTATGTCCCCCGAGGCCTCGCTCATCTTTCAGAGCATGTGGTGGTTGTGAATCACTCCAAGAACACTTCAGGGGTGGTTGCCACTTGTGTCAGGTGCTCATCCAGGCAATGGGATGCAGCAATGAGCAATGCACAAGGGCTCTGCCTTCACGAAGCACAGTCTAGTAGAGAGAAAAATTAAGTAACCATCCAAATAAATGAAAATTACAACTGTGATGGCACCAACATACATGGAACTACGAAAGCATTTAAAGTAGGCTATCCTGCCCTAGCCGATTTGGCTCAGTGGACAGAGGGTTGGCCTACGGACCTAAGGGTCCTGGGTTCGATTCTGATTCATGTCAAGGACATGTACCTGGTTGCAGGCTCCTCCCCAGCCAGGACCCTGGTCAGGGTTCATGCAGGAGGCAACTAATCGATGTGTTTCTCTCACATCGATATTTCTCTCTGTCACTCTCTCTAAAAATCAATGGGAAAATATCCTCGGATGAGGATTAAAAAAAATAAAACAAAGTAGGATACCCTGACTTAGTCTGATGGGTCACTTCCTGGAGGAGTTAACTAGGCCAAGGAGGTGAAGGTAGGGAAGGCGCTCCAGGCAACAGGCCCAGCATTTGCAAAGGGCCCCGGGCAGGAAGGATGGACTGAAGGAGCCAGTGGGCTGGATCACAGGGAAGTAGTTGTGACTGGACATCAGAGCAGCGGGAGCCTGACAATGAATCGTGGGGCAAAGAGGACTGACTACAGGACACCCCGCCCCCCCCATGTAATCTCGCCCTCTCCCCCTGTCCCCCTGGCAGGTCACAATGAGGAGGGGGTTTCCTAGTGGAGCTTTGGGTCAGAAGCGGCTTGTGGGTGAATTCCCCACGCCGTGTGCACGCAAGACTGACTGGGCAGAAGTGACCGCTGTCGGGCAGCGCTGGATCCTCATCCCCAGTCGAGAAGGGCAGCCCTGGGAGGCAGCCAGCATTCAGAGAAGACAAACTTCCTACCCGCGCCAGGCACAGCCCTTCCAGACCCTGTAACTAGGTCTAGGTCTTCCCGGGGCCATGAGGGGAAAAGAAGGCCCTCGGAGCAAGGGGTGATGCAGGAAGGAGACCCAGGCTCCCTCTGGAGCAGGCTGGCGGGAAGGCCGCGCTGAGGACCGCCGGGGGCTCCTAACGTGGACAACGCCGGAAACAGGCCCCGAAACCCACGCCCGCTATCCCATTGATTTCCGGCCCTTCTGGGCGGCTAAGAAGCTGGGCCCTCTCGGTGGTCTCGGCTCCGCCCCCGGAGCGCCGGGGAAGGGGCGGGGCCAGAGCGCGGGAAAAGCGCAAAGCCCTGGGGAGGGGAGGGGCCTAAGGCTGTGGGCGGGGCTGAGACCATGGGGGCGGGGTCAGGGCCCACGGAAAGGGCGTGGCCAAAGTTGAGGTAGGTCGGCGTCCAGCGAAGGGAAAGAAATTCTTTTATACTCAGTCTGGTTTAAGGAGAATAAAACTGAGAATATATATTTTTCTTTATTGATTTGAAAGAGAAAGAAACATCGATTTGTTGTTCCACTTAGTTATGCATTTATTAGTTGAATCTTGTACGTGCCCTACCCGGGATGGAACCCGAAACCTTGGCTTATGGGGGTCTCCTTAATTACCCAACCAAAAAAAAAACCAAACACTGATCCTGCCCTCACTCCCTCTCTGCCCTGCTGGCTGTCCCTCCACAGGTCCTGGACTCCAGGAAGCCCCATCTCCACAGCTAAGACCCTCCCACCCCCACCCCTAGCTGCTCCCTTTCCCGATTTAAATCCCACTCACCTGTCCCCTCAGGTTCTGGATAAGGTCATCATGCTCCCTCGCCCACTCCCTCCTTCGTCCTGGGCCAAGGAACCCCAGCTCTGGTCTCCCTACTTATTGGCTGGCTGCCCCTCTTCCTCCGCAGAAGTCGGACGTTTGCTCTCACTTCTAGACCCCGGTCTTCTCACTGTAAACCACGCTCCCGAATCTACCCACCCGTTTCCTTGAAGGGGACCTCGCCTGGTCAAGTCGGGAGCTTCCGAACCCGCGCCCGGTGAGTCAGTCTGTGCAAGGCAGGGTGACCCTAAAAAACCACCCAACCCCTTATAGTTCAGTGGGCGACGCCCGCCCTCCGAGAGTCCTCCTTGAGGGTGGGGCGCCCCTCTACTCTTCTCCCGGGCCCCGCCCACTGGGCGACCTGGTGGCCGGAGAGCTGCCTGCAGGACCGATCACTCCAGTGCGCCTGCGCAGAGGCCCGGGCGGCAGGGTAGGACTACATGTCCCAGTGTGCACTTTGCTTGCGGCCGCGGCGCCTGCCCGGAAGTTAAAGTGGCTTTCGGCCCCGCCCCGGAAGATAAGGCCGCTCTCGGGCGCTGTTGAGCCTTTTTCCGCCGCGCTAGGCAGAAGGTAAGTTGTGTTTACGCCCCGGCGGCTCTGCTGATATCCGCCGCCATCCGCCGTTCTCCCGCTCCCTGAGGCCCGCGAAGGACTTAGGCTGGCTTCTGAAATGACTCCCGGGTGCATGGCTGGGGGTGGTGGCACGAAGGGGGCCGGGAACTGGATAATGGGTCCTGGAGAAAAGGATCCCTAAAGCCGGGTGGCGGGAGTGCCTGCCCTCCCCACCCCCCCGGGCGCTGACCATGAGGTTCCCCCAGACTGCCGTCATGGGCCGCGTGATTCGTGGGCAGAGGAAAGGCGCCGGCTCCGTGTTCCGCGCGCACGTGAAACACCGCAAGGGCGCCGCGCGTCTTCGCGCCGTGGACTTCGCGGAGCGACACGGCTACATCAAGGGCATCGTGAAGGTGCAGGGCGCAGGCCGGGGCGGGTGCGGGCATGGGGTGTTCCTCGCGGTCCCCACGCTCACGCCGCCTCGGCCCGCAGGATATCATCCATGACCCAGGCCGCGGCGCGCCTCTGGCCAAGGTGGTCTTCCGGGATCCGTACCGTTTTAAGAAGCGGACGGAGCTGTTCATTGCTGCCGAAGGCATCCACACCGGCCAGTTCGTGTACTGCGGCAAGAAGGGTAAGAGTCATGTTTCGACGGGAGGACGGGGTCCCATGAGGGAGGTGCACCTCCTAGGTCGGTAGGGGAGGCATCCAGGAAGAAGCCTCACAGGGTGACCCCTGCTGGGCCGAACATAACCTGTGCACTGGCTATTTTGGGGTGTTGTGAGGAGGGAATGGATTTGCGTTGCCTCTGGCCAGCAGTCGGACACTACCCGGCAAATCGGCGTCGCTCAGGTTGAGTATCGACCTATGAACCAGGAGGTCACCGTTTGGTTTCTGGTTGGGGCACTTGCTGGGTTGTAGTCTCATCCCTAGTGGGGGGAGGCTGCTGATGAATGATTCTCATTTATGTTTTTCTTCTCCCTTCCTCTCTGAAATGAATAAAAATGTTTCTGTGTGTTTTTTAAGACCATCTCTCCATTCTGACTGTTCCTGCTGCTCTCCCTTGCAGCTCAGCTGAACATTGGCAATGTGCTCCCGGTGGGCACCATGCCTGAGGGCACCATCGTGTGTTGCCTGGAGGAGAAGCCTGGTGATCGGGGCAAGTTGGCCCGGGCCTCTGGGAATTATGCCACGGTCATCTCCCACAACCCCGAGACCAAAAAGACCCGAGTGAAGTTGCCCTCGGGCTCCAAGAAGGTCATTTCCTCTGCCAACAGAGCTGTGGTCGGTGAGTGGCAGGCAACAGTTGAATGCTTTGGGTCGCTTGTGAGGAGCTAGCAAGCCGGCAAACCTGGGCCCTGGAACCTAACTTCCCACGCCGATAAAGTGTAGGCGCTCTGTATACTTGAGTAGATGCATAGTTTCCCAGTCGTAATATTTGAGAAGTGGGCACAGTGGTACCTACTTCATCCCATGGTGGTAGTTGAAGGAGACCGGGTTTAATCTACTGGACTTGTCTGCGTTCTCACATAGCCTGGATTTGCCTGGTTCCTGCCCTTACCTTCACCTGCTAACAATCTTTTCAGAGATGTCTGATTTCCTTGAAATTACCCAGTATGTGCATTAAAAAGGATCTGTACCCAGGTTTGTTCACTTTGCTGTTTGACAACACTTTCAACTCCTGTGGCAAAGCTGGCCAAGATATGGCATGGTGGCTCAGCCATCACATTGGGTTCAGAGGTTGAGTGACCTGCCCATGTCAGACATGGTGCAGGGAGGGCTTTCCTGGAGAACCCTGGATTGAGAGAGGCATTCCAGGTGACATGGTGTGGGTAACTGTGTGGCTTGGCATCCCATGGAGCCCGAAGAAACTCGCTGTCAGTTACAGGCTGTACGGGGGGGCTTACTGCTGAGTGGTATTTGCCAAGTGTTCCTGGCACTTCTGTGAATTTTGTGATTCTGTATGACAGTACAGAGAAAAAGGTGGTTAGTGCAGGCGGTGGGGTGCTGAGGATACTCTGCCTGATAGCTTTTCTGAATTGCCTAATATCCGCAACAGGTGTGGTGGCTGGAGGTGGCCGCATTGACAAGCCCATCCTAAAGGCTGGGCGTGCCTACCACAAGTATAAAGCAAAGAGAAATTGCTGGCCACGAGTGCGGGGTGTGGCCATGAACGTAAGTAGCCCAGTAGTAGGCAGTGGAGAGTATTCAGGATACAGGGCCTGAGGCTGGGTGGGCAGGTCCTTTGGAATCTCCCCTCAGGTGGGGGATTTGGGTGATGATTCATAGGTATAGGCCTCTTGATCCAGCCCCCTCCCCAAGCCCTCCCTTAGATAGATTGGGACCACCCCCACATTAATACTACCTCCCTTTGTCTGCAGCCTGTAGAGCATCCATTTGGAGGTGGCAACCACCAGCACATCGGCAAACCCTCCACCATCCGCAGAGATGCCCCTGCTGGCCGAAAAGTGGGTCTCATTGCCGCTCGCCGGACTGGGCGTCTACGGGGAACTAAGACTGTACAGGAGAAAGAGAACTAGGGCAGGGGGGTCAATAAAGTTTGTTTTCCTGCCACTAAGCTGTTCTGCCTGTAGTTTCAGAGGGAAATGTCCTGCTGGGAGGACCACTGAGCAGAGGCAGCTGAAGTGGAGGTGGGGGTGCTTGATCCAATCACACCCTTCCTGGAATCCCACCAGCATCCCACACATGGACCTGTGTGCTGAGCACTGGGAGAAAGTAGGTGTGGATGTCAACCCACAGCCAGAACTCTCCTGTGATGGAGTTTCTCAGAACAAATGAACTTCCTGATTGGCCACAGCTAATGACACCTTTTCCCACATTGTCTGATAGTTCTCTCAAAGGTGGCTGAAGCAGGGCAGAGGCTGCTAAGCAGGCATCAAAGTGAGACCCTAACCCATCAGCCATTAGAACTAGGACACTCCCAAGAATCTTGCTCACAGCGGTTCCCTTGTGAGCCAGTGAAAAGTGCAGCAGGGCACTAACTGCAGACAGGTGCACTGGCTGGCACTCCATGATGACTACCTACCTGAGCTCTGGTTTCCTCAGCCGTTCTGTGGGCTGCAGGGACCGAATGGATGATAAGGCCTTCCTGTGACTGCCAGGTGGCTTTTTTTTTTTTTTTAAATTTATTGATTTCTTACAGAGAGGGAGAGGGATAGAGAGAAACATCGATCAGCTGCCTCCCCCTTGAGTCCGCAGGCCGTCGCTCTGTCCATTAAACCAAACTGGTTAGGGCCAGGTGGCTCCTTGCTCTCAAGGATCGGACCCATCTTCAGTGTTGACCTCGCCCCCAGTTGTCAGCCTTGCCTTGCCTTCCCTGGCCCAACCTGCCCTTGGCCTTGGGCAGTCACCCAGCAGGGCTAGCATTCTCTTGTGCAGAGCAACACCTGAAGAGAGGAGCATGAGTCTTGGTTACCGAGACAGTTAAGTGACCTGCCACAGCACTACTGCTCCTGATAAAGTTTGCAGGGCCCTTGGCCAAGAGACTGGCTATCAAGAAGGGGTGCTGCAGAAGCTGTCTGGTGCTGGGATAAGTCCTTTGTCTAGTTAGAGTGGGCACGGACCATTTAGAGGGGTTGGCCTTGACCCATAAGCATCCTCTTGAACTTCTGGGTGATCTCATCGTCCCTGTGACCGGTATGGTTCTCTGCCTTCTGTAAAAGAAAGGTCTGGTCTTCGCTTGGTTGTAGCACCTTCAGCAGCTCACTAGAGAGTTTCACTGAAAGAATTGCTGTAAAATAGTCTTGGAAATTGGTCCACAAAGCCCCACTCTTGCCTCGGTTCTGAACACAGGCTCCCAACTGCCACCCGGTGGCAGCATCCTGACTTGTTGCACTACAGTTCCCGTTCCTGGAGGACTCTAGCCACCGAGAAGTGGGAGCCGTTTCCCAGAGCGGCCGGGGGCGTGGCTTGCATCACTTCCGGCGGGCTTCAATTG